TAATTCGTTCTTTGCCTTTGGTGGTGAAATTGCACTTAACTTTCAATTCACTCTTTAGGTGCTATCAAGCGACAACCCAAAATATGGATACAATGCTGCTACCGGGCAGTATGAAGATCTCATGGCTGCTGGAATTATAGATCCAACTAAGGTTTACTAATATTGTTTTTGGCCACTCTAATACATTTTTCTCGAGTTTGTTTTTTTATCGGGCTCGTTCATAAATGCAATTTTGGTGGTGTATGTTGGTTTTATTTATAGGTGGTTAGATGTTGTTTGGAACATGCATCTTCGGTGGCCAAGACATTTTTGATGTCGGACTGTGTGGTTGTGGAGATTAAGGAGTCTGAACCTGCTGTGGCTGGAAACCCAATGGACAACTCAGGTATAAAATCAAATGATAAATTGAGAAAAAAAAAAGCTTTTGTGAGTGAGGGTTTCTGTATAACTTACCAAACATCTTCCTTTTCTTTTTTCTATTTTAATTTATCATCAGGTTATGGATACTGAGCGAGCTCTGCTTGAAGAGCACTCGTGGATCGTTCAAGATTTTGATTAAGTCTGATCTCTATCTTGGTAGTGATATTAGATTGTGAATTTATCATTGAGGGATTGTAGTCAGAGATTTGAAATCCAACAAGGAAAATAGCTTTAGTTATTCGAAAGTTGCAGCAATTCATTGTACAAGAACCCAGTGGCTGGCTGTAAGAGGAATTCTGCAGTGTGTGGTGTATGTTAATCAACTGTTATGGTTCTTGTTTAGAGTCCCGTACTTTTGCATTAAATTTGAGTTTTGGAATGATTGATATCTGATTAATAGTGAGCAATGGTGAGATGGGTCTAAACACCGACACATTTATGGACACATTTATAAGTATCGACATGTTCACTGTCACTGTTTTGAAATCTGATTCAGCTGGTGTCGCCAGACTTGGGGTGTGCTCATTTGGACAAGGCAACAATTGGATTGTCGAACCTGTGTGATCCGGTCAAAACTTAGTTGACTTGGGTATTGATGTAGCAAAATTCTATGGAGTCATTAATGACTTCGTTATGGAGTCATCTATAACTCTATATACTGACACATGTCAAATGTAAATGTGTATTTAATGCAGGACGTGTGTCAATACACAATTTGTAAATAATTATGGATGACTCATAAGTCAGAGTCATCCGATGACTCCATAACAAAATCGATAATTGTGTATATAAATTTATGTAGTAAATAAACATGGCCATGGGCCGACCCAGCCCGTCGTCCCGGCACCGAACTGGTCTCGGACAGGCCTGTAGTACACCGGTTCTGTAAACCGGAACAGTGGCCATGCATGTCGGTTCAGGTTTTCTAAATTTTTTTCGTCCCGACGGTTCGGGCCGGGCCTGGGGTTGGAGGACGGGCGACCTTTGTAATTCTTTTAAGGGCCGGGCCGGGTCCGAACCAGTCGAAAACAGACGGGTCGGTGGCCCGCGATTCAGGGTCGGTTAAATGAACTGGCCCATAGAAATGGCCCAGTCGGTTAAAGGCCATCAAAATGAGGCCAGTCGGCTCCGCGGGCCGAGCCGAGTCACGACCCGTCATTTGACTAAGTCTAAGTAAATACTAATATGAGTCACAATATTATGAAATTTTGTTTCATTAATATGATTCATAAAAAATAAAAATAAATAAATAAAAAGGCAAAAGGTCATCTGCTTGTAGTAATTTTGGATAGATGGTAACTGAGCTACCCGACTTGGGTCATTGTCAAAGGAAGGCTACACAAGAAAAGAAAATAAAAATCCTAAACACTCTACTCGCAATTTTGGGTTTGGATTAAACTAAAGAATGCACTTTTAAACTAAACTAAAGCAAACAAGTCCTCAAATGCAAGGAAAAAAGAAAATAGAGAAAAAAATAATAATGTACCCCTAGATCCGAGATGGAAGGGAGGCTGCAATCAAGGTATCGCCACTGGCGATTAATCAATCGATCTCTCAATCAATTCTCTCTCACGCAATTAAGCTAACGAAATCAATAATAAAATCACATAAGACCTAGAGGGTGAATGCATATTCTATTCATGAAAGCTCATACCTTTACCCTAGAAAAATTTAACAAATAAGACAAGAAAAACTCACAAGATCTTGGACCTTAAACAAAGTCCCCAAGTCTCTAGTGCATTCACGAGAAGAAATAACCCGAAAAGTTGTAATCTTGATGGAGAAATATTATAATAAAAATAGGGTCTTGGAGCCCTTATAGAGAGAAAGAAAATTAGAGAGAGGAGAGAAAAAACCTAAGAAGAAAATTTTAGTAAATGAGGAATTGTTTAAAAAATACAAAGCACAATGTCTATTTATAGCTACACTACAAACACACACTAGAAACACGCACAATTGCAAAATCACTCTCGAGCTCTCCATAAATTCTGCTGGGCGCGGACGTCGGGCGGTACGGGCGCACGCGAAGAGGCGTGACGTTGGCGCGGGTGGTGGGCAGCACTCTCGACGTCACAGGGAGACTCGCGAGTGCGGGCGTAGGATGGCGGGGCACTCTCGACTTCGCGGGAGAATCCACGAGCGCGGGCGCGGGATGGCTGGGCACTCTCGACGTCACGGAGATTTTCGCGGGCGCGGGCTGCTAGGGGCGCGACACTCTTGATGTCGTGGGAGCATCCGCGGGCGCGGGCTTGAGCTGGCACTGGGCGCGCATCACTCGCAAGCGCGCGGGATGGTTTGCGCGTGCGGGCGCGCACAGGAAGGAACTCACGAGCACGGCGTGCAGTTCGCAGGCGCAGAAGAAGAAACTCGGGGGCTGCTGGTGTTTCGCGGGCGCAACGCCGAATTCGCAAGCGCTGGGAACTCGCAGCCTACACTAGCTTCGCGCGCGCGACTTGTGGACTCGCGGGCAGGCATGGGTACACGGGCGCGGCAGGTGCGTGGGTCAAGACCCGGTGACCTCTTGATGCTCGATTCGCTCTAACTTCTCGCACGCTTCTCCATTTGACTTGAAACTTTGGCCCACGCTTCTCAAATCTTCTTCCCCTCGTCTTGAGATGTGTAAATGGGTGTCACCACGCAGTTAATAACTATTCTCGGAATGACTCAGAAATATCTTAGAAATGACTCGTTTCCCCAAGCATAGTAAGATGGACCTATTCAACACCAAAAAGACACGAAAAATACGCCGAACCACAAAAACACAACACGAGAATAAAAATGCACGAAACACGATAACATTGATTGGTGGACACTAAAATGAACCCAAACACACTAAACTAAAGCACATAAAACACATGAAAATAAGCACAAAACACAATAAACATCATCCAAAGTGGCGACCCAGGTCACATTGTGACCTTGTGTCGCAATCGGTTTCTTATTGGAAATGAGACACTTATCTCATTTTTATTGGACAAGTGTATTTTCTTTTATTTAAAAAAAAATCTAAAATTTATATTTTTTCATTGGTTACATATAGAGACCCTCAATTGATAGGTTTTAAAACACAATTATAACTTCTAAATAAATTAAACTAAAATAAATATTTAAGTTGAGTTGGGTTGGGGATGAAAATATAATGAATTGTAAAATTGAGTTGAGTAAACGGAGAAAAGAGAAATATTTTTAACTATTATTTTTAAGTTGAATTTGTTGAGTTGGGGATACAATGGTCTTCTTTATCTTTTTCGGTACAATGAAAGAGGCCGAAGGCCTAAGTGGTACTAAGCAAGAACTCGTAGGGGGTACGACACCCCGAGGATATCGTGATCAAGTTAGGCCCCCAGGACCAGTGGAGGTGAGGAGACGCGCTGTAAACCAACAGATGAAGTAGACGCAACTTGCCATATGGTTTGCGGCAAAATTGGCCTCCCTATGCACGTGTTGTAGACGAACATGCCAATCCCATTGAAGCATACCGCGAATTGGCCTCCAAGATTGTCCTCAGACCCGAGTACCATTTTCATGGATCAGTCGACGAAATCCCAAGTCCCAGGCCAACTGCAAACCCTGTAGAAGACCCCAAAGCTCGGCTCCCCTTATTGTGCAGACGTCGATATTCATGAGAAAGCCACCTTGCCAGCGGCCCATATCGTCGCGAAGGCCACTAGAACTACCCACTCCCGTTGTGAGAAGAAGAGCATCGTCCGTATTGAGCTTAATCCACCCCGAAGGTGGCGGAGTCCAATGGATCATACGAGTAACATGAAAAACGGCTTCGGCCTTCACGGAAGCTGCCGTGTGCGACTATAATTTCGGGTTATACGCATAACCTCCATGTATTGCAGCTCACAACTAACAGCTCATTGATTGAACACCCGGTCATTTCTGCACCCCATGTACGCCAAGTCGCGACTGCAAATAGGGTATTCCAATGGTCAACGTCTCCCAGCCGGGATTTCACCAAGTTCTGCCGCAACCTGGGGCGAAGGGGTTGCTGGAAAAAGTCTGTAACCTGGCCAGTCGGAAGCATCTTAGACCATAGGCTTTTAGCGGTCGAGCAGTCCCGTAAGACATGCAACACGGACTCACGTTCTCCACAGAGGTTGCAGGCCTCCGAGATAAATAGATGCCGCTGCAGCCTCTCCTCGTTGGTAAGTAGTTGGCCTTTCGCATCAAGCCACAGAAAAGTCCGGGTTCGATGCCGTCGCGTCGATCAGTATCCGGTTCAATATTGACTAGAGCTTTGTAAGCGGTGTGCGTAAAGAACTTACCATCGTTGAAAAATCTCCATATGATTTGATCCTCTCCCGCCGTCGATTTCGGGGGAAGCGGGCCCCATATTTGTTAAAAATCTCACCCTTCTCTCGTCTAATTAAAACTGCTCCAAGCCTCCAACCACCCTCAACAACAGTAAACCTCAGTTCCATCACCCGCCACGTGGCACCACCAAAATCGAACTCCACCAGAGTCCTCCACGGCCACTAGTCTCCCACTCAATCTCTCTGCCTTCTCTCTTTCTCTCTCTCTCACACACACACACATATTTCACGCACTAACGCAGTTCAATTCCCACCGCCATGCCCATGGCCTCAACCAGCTCCGCCGCGCTGTTCTCTTCCCCAGCCAGGCCTTCCTCCTCCTCGCCCAAGAAAATCCCATTCCCTTGCTCTCTGCTGAAGCTCACATACACCGACACCAAAATTCCCTTCCTTTGCGCACCAATTGCTCGATCCAATGCCGGACTACCCGTCTTCGTTGCCAAAGCCTCCAAAGCGGAGCCTCAGTCGTCCGATTCGGAACTGTACGAAGAGTACGAGGTGGAATTGGTGCAGCCGTACGGGCTTAAGTTCGCCAAGGGCAGAGACGGAGGGACCTACATTGATGCAATCGCGCCGGGAGGATCGGCCGATAAGACCGGCATGTTCACGGTCGGGGATAAGGTGCTCGCCACTAGGTATCTTCATTGTTTGTGACT